CCTCTGCTGAGGGAGCCGAACCCCCGCGGGGGCCCCACAAACACCGCAGACCCGTAACGAATCTCGTTTTCCTCTTAGCTTGGAAGCTTGTGAGCTAAAGCAAACCCTTTCCTATTTATGGCACTACTTGCCTGAGAATATGTACGGTATTAAACCTCTACGCATTCGATACCAAAACGGCCGTCTTCCCTCAGATAGAAAAGCACGCGATACAGGCCTGTCGGTAAGGTTTTGTGCAGTTAGGCTTCTTTTATCGGAGCGGGAAGACAGATCTCACCAGACACTGTTTCCCCCCCCCGTGTAAGATGGCAAAAAAAAAAAAAACAAACCCTAAACAAAACCAAAAATATATGTTGAGCAAACATCCACCCCACCTGCCTGCTGAGCAGGTGCCAGGAGGGGCTGCACCTAGACCATCCGCCGAGCCGCCCAGTCTTTACCGCAGCTCGGCCACCAGGCTCTAGCAGCAGACAGCCTGGGAGCCCCATTCCCTTTACAAGCCAGGCTGTACAGGACAGGGCTGCCAAGGGTCCCCCGAGAGCCTCGGACAACATTAACTGCAGGTGTCCCACTCCCTCGCTGCGTAGCGGTAGGGTGGCCCGGCTCCCAAACGCTTGTAAAACTAGCTGGGTTCCAGAAACAAACACGAAAAGCAGCGTACATCCCCGTTTTGGTTCTTGCTGCCGTTCATTGCATTAGTTTCCTCTTGAGGATTTTGTTAGCGTCAAGTCAGTTGGGTGACCAGGCAACAAGCGAACTGCAACGCGACCTACAGAGATTAGAGTTGAGCGGGCTGCTGGCAGCGTGACGATATTTGTTAATACCAAACATATCGACTTATAAACCGGAGAGCTGGCAGAAACACCCCCATGGTAGGTGGGGGAAGTAAGCGACATAACCAAACAGCTGCCTTCACCACGGTCAGAAGCCGTTTAAATTACTCTTCGCTCCTTTATTCTGTCCCACTAACATCAGTCCTTCTCACCAAGCAGGGGCTGTGCTGCTGGGAGAGGGGGTGAGCTCTAAAATATATTTTAAGAAATGGTCTTATATGGAATTGCAATAAAGACACAGATGCAAGATCACCAGTCATCCATCCAACAAAGGTCATCTTCCAGAGTTTTCTGGTGAAACTGCTGCGTCAGGTCCAATTAATAGCTATTTTTAATCTCTTGAAATAAGCGTTCCTTGGAAACGAAAACGCTGTTGCTTCTTCACCAGCCAGAGTCTAGCGTCACACGAGTTTTACATCGGCCACATACTTTCCTGGGGACGCACGTGCCGCTGTTGCTCAGAGGCGGCATCGAGGAAGTCTTCCCCGTTCCAATGTCTGCACGCTTAAGCAACCTCTAGTTTAATCAAATACAGACGTGCTTAAAACACGTTATGGCGACACTGAGGTTGTGACACGGAGGAAGCGAAGCAGAAAATGCAGCGTGCCGGCTTACACGCTGCCCGCTCCTCCCGTCACAAAAGGGAGGAGCAGTGCCCCGAGCGGGCACGGGGGCAACGTGAACAGCCAGCCTTCCCCCTCGTGTTTCGTGGCTCTACTGCTACTCGGTGCCCCTGCAACGCTTTCTCAGTGAGCCTCCAAGCATTGTTTCCAACGCCTTGGTTTGCTCCTCCCCGTTATTCATACGATTCGCAGCCAGATCATGCTCGATTTTCACCTCCAGTTTGCAAAGGAGAGCTCCAAGTTTGTATATAGCAGGCACTCATTCAGACCTCACGCTTTTCTCAGTTAAGAAGCTTTTCTGAAGTCTTTTATCACCAAAGCCAAGGGCACGCTCTGGTCCAGGCTTACGACGCGCCAAAGCGCCATGCGACTGCTGTTTCCGCAGGGCAGCGACTCCTGACCGGAGAGCAAAGGGCAAGACGGCGCTGCCACGTCTCCGGCAGCAGCCCTGGCACCCCAGTTCACTGCTGGTTATCGATGTACAGGTTTTACTGGTCACAGAGGTATTTGTGGGCTGGAGTACAGCACGGCAGTAACCACATCCCGTAATGCTCCACAACAGGTTGGGATATGTTTTCTTAATGGCAAACGCCCCACTTGTTTGTTTGCCTCCCCAAGTCAAGTTTCACACGAGCGATCGCAGAGCGAAAGTGAAGTGTGACACATGCCAGGGTCGAGTTCAC